AACCCAAACTGTTCTATGATTCTATGATACTAAATTAACTGTAAAATTCCAGTAATTAAGTTAGGATTTTTAAAATAGCTGTGGTTGCTTTAACAATCCACCAAGACTTTGAGAGCTGGATCAAATGTGCATGAGCTAAGCAGCTGTTCGTTACCACCATTCTTAATAGATTAACAACAGATTAAAACCTGTCTTTACTTGTGCAAGTGGTCATTTCTAGTAAATCACTACCAAACCTCAATTTAGGAAAAGTATTCCTAATCTGTTAGGACAACTTCGTAATAAAATTAGTATACTATATTTACATTGTCAGGAAAAACAAAAAAAAAGGCGAAACAGAAAACACAAAACAAAAAACCAAACACACAAAACCCCCCAAATTAGAATGGACTCCTAACAAGGAAGGATTTTTTTTAATAGCTGATGTCATTTCTAGAAATAATCCTAAAAAGAACATTCATTATCTGCTTTTTTTAAAGCCAGATATGCTCATGATCTGTTTGATAATTTATCATAAAGGAAGAACATGCTTAGAATAATTTTGGATGTACAATATTCATATGTGCATACTTTTCTAGGAGAGAGTCAAGGAATGATTATTAATATTCCTTCCTTTCTTATCAACCCATACAAGGGCATCATTGCCATTGAATAACGTATGATACGTGTATCATATGGCAGAAAGGAAAATGCGAGTACTTAATACTAATCACGCGAGGAAGTAAAGACAGAAGTCAGTTTACATCACAATGTTGCTACAATCCATAGATTAGATCATTTAAAGCTTGTTTCAGAAAAGCCATTACATAAAAATCATAGAGATCTTGCAATTCTAAAAGAAGGTCTTGAGAAGTATGCTTGCATTAACAGAGACATAAGTTTACAGATAGTTGTCTCCCCACATACTTACCAACACGCAGCTGCACAAGCAAGTATTTTTATGAACACCAGTTTTGGTAAAATATGGCAGAAGATAAAAACTGACAGAAGTGTTGAATCATGGACCTACTGACGTGTGGTGGTGTTTGGTAAGTATCTGTTAAGAGTTAGTGGTCCGAATCAAAAGAAACAGGCATGTTTTCTCTGTACCTGGCATGATGCTGCTTCCTGGTTCATTTTCAGGCAGGATGAGTTCTCCTAGTCCAGAGCGTGGTCCAGAACCCAGGAAACGAATATCATTAGCTATTTTCATCAGACTACATGCCACTGTGTTCATAGCTCCACTGAGTTCAACTAGAGCATCATGAGCTGCAAGAGCCTCAAACTTATTTGGAGCAGTGACAAAAGGCAAACCTACAAGGGGGTAGGGGAAATATTAAGCAGTGAGGCACATAAACCAAGTAATCAAACACATAATTAGCTTCATTTAAAAAATACTAACACTGTAAGATCATCTCTCTTCTGTAGACCTTTCCTCACAAATATTTCTTAAACAGATTAATCCAACATAAAAGTCACTAAATTACAGAAGAATCTGAAAGCTGAGCTTTTACCCACAACAAAGGTACAAATCTCAAGCTTTCACACTGTGTTGCATGCTAAGCATCGCTTTCATAACCACAATATTCTGTGAATGTCAATAATCTCTTACAAGTTAGCCTGAACTTATTTATTTATTCTGTTAAATCAAGTTAGATTCTTTAGGTTGTCAAGTGCTGTGATGCTTTCTCTCTGTTATGAAAATGAGGTTTTTACAGCACAGGGCAGACATTAGGATAAAGCAGCCACAATGGAAATAGGTATTTAAAGAAAAAAGATGCATCCAAGTGTCAGTTCTGAAAGGGAACAACAAACTGGTCAGAACATGTGAAATCTGATTCAGACTTAGAAGTATGCCTGAAACTGCTGCCAACAAGAGCACAGATGCAATGGAAGCAACAGCTCTGCTGACGTTAATTAAATGCCTGAGATTTAAGGCTAAGTTTCATAATGAAAACCATGTCTTCAGGGCTTTGTTCTGGAAGAAAAGTCAGTGGAATGTTATTAGTGGTAATGGACATCACTAAAGACTGATTGTGGGCTGGACTTTGGCCCCGCAAAACTCCTGGTCTGAGCTTACATTACCAGTTCAAAGAAGAGCAGCATGATTTCTAGCGTTTTGCAATTCCTGCTAAACACCAAATCCCACCCAATATGCATGGTCTTCCAAACTGTGTAGTTGCCTTCTCAGTTGCAGAGATCATTATAAACTTTTCCTTTTGTCCTTGCCAATAAACTTGCCTGTAAGAACATGTGGAAGTTCAAGAGTCTGCCCTATTTGTTTTAAACTAGTACAGCTCGCCCCTACAGTGCACCTAACAAGCACTAACGTGGGAGAGCTTCCTAACCACCGACAGCTTCTTCAAGCACCAAAACAAGCCCTGTACTGCTGCCCAGCAGCTGTTGTTTATGACAAGTTACTTCTTCCCTCTCAGGGTACAAGAAAGTCTTGACTTTCTACAAGACAGAGAATAATGGATCCATTAAAACAAAAATACTGTTGATAAGCAGTTTCAGCAATTTTAAATGGTAGACCTACACATTCATTTTGGGGGTGTTTTAAAACATACTGTGACACAGAAAATCTGGTTTATAGATTAAAAAAAAAAGCTGTGTGAATTAAGTTTTAATGTCTATAAAAACAGCATAAAAAAAAAATCAGACAGCTACCTTTTTGCCATGAAAAAACACAGAGGCTTTGGGAGGCATTTTTGCTCTTCTTTCATGCCAGATCATTGTAGATTAACAGAGACACAGGAGCAAAGATCAAGACAGAAGCATTATAGCTGGGCTAATAATAGAAGCCTGAAACTGTATCCATCTCCAATAAGCCTCACTCAGAAAAATATGGTAATTTCAGTCACTTTCAATGCACCAAGTATAATTATAAAAATAGATTACATGAAAAATCCTAAAGTAGAAGGCATATAACATACAGCATTAGAAGAAACTTTCATGTTAAAATATAAGTACAATTTGAGCTTATGAGAAGTCTGGGAACCAAAAGATTTTGTTTCAGTTTGACTGTATGCTACATATACTGCTTTACTGGTAACTGAAGTGTGATTCCTCACCTGTCAGTTCAGCCACTTTAGCAGCAACTTTCTCAGCAAAACCAATCCTTGTGTTTAGTCCTGTACCAACTGCAGTCCCACCAGCTGCCAGCTGATACACTCTTGGCATGGTTGACTCAATCCTAGCCACACCGTATTTAATTTGTTGCACATAGCCACTAAATTCCTTTGGAAGAAGGAGGACAAAATAAACCAACAAAGACAATGACCAAGAATAAACATTATTACTTAGATTTTGATCATGATTGGGCTAATTTCTTTAAAACCTAAAGGCAGTCAACTTTACCCAAATCCTGAACCTTCACATGTTTTCATTAAGAGGTGAAGTTTGTATGTACTAGAAGACTGCTCTTGCACTACAAACAATTACACATAAAAACAACCTACATATATAAAAATGTGTAAACAAGACATCTTTCTCTTGCTTTTTATCTCAGCTGTACTTAGTAGGACCTGAATCCATGTTAATCAGATTAAACTAATGTTCTCAAAGTACAAATAGAGAAACGGATCTTGGGCTTTGTTTACTGAATTTTACTTAGTAAAAAACTAACTAAGCATTCTTGGGTAAATCCACAAACTTTACATGGATTTTTATCAACTCAAAGTTATTTCATTACCAAATTAATGTAATATAAGCCATTCCTGACAATATCTAACAAAAATTTGCTTTCATATATATATAATGATCATATATTAAAGATTTTCATTCAAATACTTAGTAGTTTTGTGTGTTGGCAAAACCTCATTTATGTAAATGTACCAATTACAGACTACCTATCTTCTCCCTTGCAATGTCACTGTAACAGAAATACCACATCGTGTTATTTGGTAATGGAATATCGTGTAAAAATCATTTATATCTTACTACTGTTAGAAGTAAGACACATGGAAAAAAAAGAAGGAAATTTATGGCGCAGTTATTAGAGTGCACCATCCAGCAAACTCAACTAAAGATGAAAATACTCAGATTGAAATTCAGCCAGGTTCCTGTAATTTCTCTTGAACTGTCAATTAAGGCATCCTCAAGTTTGCCTCCACTTCCTCCAACACATTTATAAGAATTTTCCAGGCAAATGCATAATTTGGGTTTTTTACCTGTCCAAGTGTAAGTGGAACAGCATCTTGTGTGTGAGTGCGCCCTATTTTTATGATCTGGGAGAACTCTTTGGATTTTGCTTCAAGTGCATTCTGTAGCTTCTTTAGTCCAGGTAATAACACCTCATTAACCTCCTGGGCAGCAGCAATATGCATTGCTGTTGGGAAAGTGTCATTTGAACTCTGTGAAAGAAGTTCAAGAATTTAGTTACAAGCTTTTCTTACCATTACTGCTGTAAGATGTACATGTATGGCTTCATTCTCTTTATTTTATAAACAAGAATAATCTAAGACCAAACAACTTGGGAGTGTTCTACAAGTCAATCTGCAGGAAGAATAAAATCTTCCAAATTCCAGTCCAGTACCTTAGTGATAAAATCAACTTTTTATAACTATACCTACAGAAAATTCAGTTGAGTAGATTGTTCACAACAACACTGGCAGGAAAAAAAAAGAAAAAAGAAAAACAATTACTAGGAGAGACGGATGACAAATGAGTGGATTATTTAAAAGGAATTATGGGTCACTTTGAAACACCTGTGTGTTGCTTTGTTAATGTTCAATCTGTAGTTCCCAGGATATTGAGCAAGCACAAAAGAACAGGAAGGAATATAACCAAGTCAGTGGCTTAAACTTCAGCTAATCTGAAGGAAATATCAAGAGTGAAATGTAATAAAAATTTCTTCCCTGATCCTTGGGGAAAATAAAAAAATTGAAATGGATATTTAAGTTGTCAATTACAGGACTGCAGCCACTATTACATTCTTTCTACATGCTGTATGCAATACAGATATAGAGGTAACAGTTACAAGTATCCAACTTCCAGATATTGGATCTATCTTTAACTTAAAGACTGCTTGCAGTAGCAGTGGTTGTCACAAGGACCCCTCTACCCATTACACTACATGTAAATTTATGTGTCATGAACAAGTTTGAAGTTTCTAAACCTATAAAGCTCATGCTGTCACCAGGGAACATTTTAAAGTTCTTTTAAACTGAAACCCCCAGAAAACTGTTGCCAAAGCTGTACACAAAACTCTTCTTTCCTCCCCAGCCCCCCCCAGTCTAAACAGTGGCTCTAAGAGAATTCAAAATTCACAATTCAAAATAAAAACAAACGTCTGACATCAAAAGAAGTACAAGACAAGTGTAACAACCTGGCTTTTGTTAACGTGATCATTTGGATGCACTGGTTTTTTGCTCCCCAGTGTGCCCCCCATTATCTCAATGGCTCTATTGCTGATGACTTCGTTGACATTCATATTGGTTTGAGTTCCAGAGCCAGTCTGCCACACCACCAATGGAAAGTGATCATTTAATTTGCCTTCAGCTACCTAGAATGGGAAAAAAAAAAAAGAAAGAAAAGGAAAAGTTGTTCTACTTGAACAAAATAAAATAAAATAAAAATTACAAACCTGAAAATGTTATAGCTATAATTAAAATGATGTTCTCCGTTACATTTGTAAATCTACAAAGAACAATTGTGAATTTATACGAGATTAAGAGTTTGATGTAATACCAGATATTAAAAGGGAAAAAAACTTTTGCTATGTTTTTCATAGATGCTGAATTCTGAAACACAAAGAAATACATAATTTCATTTCATGTTCTTGTATAGAAAGAAAAGATTTTTAAAAGGTCTTTTAGATTTTATCATCTCTTTCTCAAACAATGAAGATGACTCTATAAATGAAAAAACACCACCCTCTTCCCAAATTTTAAAGCAACTTGGATTCTAATCCTCCTGGGTAGGACTAGAGGTAGTATGAGCTGGTTCTCCCTTCCACAGTTATTTCTCAGGTCAGTAAGATCTCCCAGACAAGGGGAAGATCTTAAGCAGTTTCTCAGTCACAGCATGTTAGGTGCTTCAGGGCACTGACTCAGTGTTACGTGTCTCCTTTAGTTACGACCATCCTTTGGGTGTCAGAAATGTCAAGTTTTGGACAGCGCTTGTCTGTTTACAAACTCATCATCATCATGGTGCTATGCTGCTTTCTCCTACGAAATCAGGCTCAACAGCTGCACAGTTTCATCATGAACACTGATCACAACTATCCTACGAATAGAGGCATTCAGGAGTCCATTCCTTATGGCAAACCCAGAAGAGGTGTTTTTGGCAAAGATAATCTGTGATGCACATACAGTACATAATATTTGTATAATCAGACTCCAAAATGTCTCCAGAAATAAATTTCATACAGGGAGGTTCCAGACCTCTTGCACCTGTTGACATTAGGTTTTGCATTAACGAAATGAGCCAGCAGCCAGATGGTTGCTGCTATCAAACACCTTCTTCCTGTAAAGCATGCTTTCCCTAGTACTGCCCTGGACCTATGTGCCTTTAAACTGAGAAGTGCCTAAAAAAGACTTGTGACTGTCTTTACTCTGCCTCAAGTGTAACTGAGTATGTTACACATATGAACAAGAGGGTCATGTGGACTTAACAAGATCCATATGTATTGACTTGCTGATTATTCATGGAAACAAGGTCCCGATCAGCCAAAGATAGGTGCATCAACTTGCATTTTGTGCAGGTAGGCTACGACAACTACCGCCTCAAGTCAAACCAGAACAACTCTCCTGTTTGATCTATATTTTTTGGAGCCTGTTGAACCTTATATGCATTTATCATTTTTTTTAATGGGTGTTTTAGATAGTATCAGAATCTGTGCTCAGAAGCATCATATCCCCATATGTATTAGCCTCAGGAAAGTTGAGAATGTAAAGCAAAGGATCTGTTGTCACAACTCTGAGGCTAGATAACTCTCTCCAGTTTATCAGGATACATCAGTCTTACTGGAATCATGCTTTTCAGGAACAGATCTTAAGTATTTCCCATCTTACATAGGAGCAAAGTTTCCACCTCCAAGAGTAACTTTATTCCTTACTGTACCTCTTTCTTTTTAAGTTATATTAGAAAATTATTTTGGAGGTCGGGGAAAGGATATCACCACAGAGGTGGTTTTAAAACACAACAGGAAAAAAAAAAATCAAAACCCAAACCGCTTTCAGAACTCATGAATCTAAGTTAAGTACTGGCACTAATTAATTTTGTGTCATTCTCACCTCTGTGCCTGGCAGGATCA